AACAGTAAACAGAGAACTAGCTTCAGGCATGAACAATTCATTTTCTACTTAAAAGCCAATTTTGATTAAAAATTTATTTTATGTCCTGAAACGGGCAATAACATGTCACTAGGCATCTTCTTTTAGATGTGTCGTATGAAAAAGGCAGAAATCATTTGGCACTATCTACATGCTAGAAATCAGTCTCAGATATAAATGTGCCTTGGCTAATGCCAAAAATACATCTATAGGACTGGGCAGTGTGTATATTTGGCTGCTGATAATGATTTGTAGGTTAATTTAATATTTTTCTTCCATGTATTTTGCTTGTGAACAAACATAAAATCTCATGTGACCTAGATAACAGGAGGGAGTCACTGCTAGGACACTGAAGCTGAGTCCAGTAGCTGCAAATGATTTCACTAATAGGAAAGGAAGACGACACCCCCCCCATTGACCCTTGTTTCACATTAAAATGACCGCAGTTTGACACTAACATGACAGCTGGTTTGAACAGCTTGAGATTTCAAAGTGCTTGGGTACATGTAAATATTATGACTGATCGCATAAAGTGCTGGGAGACATTTTAAGAAAGGTCCTTGGTTGAACAGCTTGCGGCAGAGTCCCTTTTCAAGTGAATGAAAAATACCACAATTTTTGTTTTATCTACTTGGTTTAGAGGAGATAGAATAAACACAAACACGAAGCTGAACTCATCAGAACCAAGACTGCAGGTTAAGACTGGATGCAAAGTGCTATTTTGTGTACTGCTAGAGGCTCAGATCCCTGCAGTTTGATGACAAGGCTGGTTCTAACTGCAGTTTAACTCCTCTGGTGATATGGCAACAGCAATAGCACAGGAAAACGCATCCCAGAGGTATTGCGCCTCCTACTTTATCTTCTGAGCAGAGACTATAGGGCAAAGCGAGCATTTGGGAGTCAAAGGCATATGGGACACAGGCCCTTCTTGTACTCGAGACTCAGTCTCCAATGCACACCTGCCTTCAAGCATGAGCTCTGGGAAATGGTTTTCATCTTTACTTTTCAAAGCTCATTCAAGTGTGTCTTTTTTTTTTTAATCACAAACATTATACACTATTTCTTCAGGGCTTTTGGCCCAGTATTCTGTTGTTCAGAAAAACCTGGGATGACTGAGGAAGCTATTAAGAAGCTAGAGTGGTAAACAAAAGTCAGAGAGATATGGCTTGTTATTGGCCGAGATAAAGTTTATCGGCAGGACAGAGTTCAAGCAGAAGCTTTCCCATGTGACTCTGAACATTTCTCAGTGCGTTAGCTTCAATTAACAAAGCAGTAGGCGGGTGCGGCTCAGTTGCTAATGTGCTAGCATACATGGAATTGTTCCTAGCATCATATAAACTGGACACGGTGACACATGCCTGTCATCTCAGCACTGGGGAGCTACAGGCAAGAGGGTCGGAAGTGCAAGGTCATCCTTAGGTACATGAAAAATTCACGGGCAATCTTCACTACATGGGACTCCATCTCAAAACAAAACAAATACAGAGCAGAAAACTCAGAGAAAAAATAACTGAGAAAAACTCAGGGTGCCTAGGGCCATGCAATTCAGGAATGACTACAGACTTGTGGTTGGAGGCTATACAGCAGATAGAATGTAGAGCCATTTTTGAGGTGGCAGGCAGGCCTGGAAAGAGAAATGTGTCCATAGAACAAGCTGAGATGTATTGTTCTTCATTCTGTGCTTCTAATATTTTAAAACAGTCCTGCATGCGCATGGCAAAGAACTCAAACAATACAGCCAAAGATCAAATGAGAATGAAGGAAGCTGCCCGTAGCAGGTCTCAGTCTCCTGTCCTCCTCCAGATGGGGTCCACTTTCTCATGCATCCTCCTAGCTACCCTTTGTACAGAAACAAACCTTTAGATACAGCGCTTCCTTTTCATAGTAAAAGTAGCCTTCATAGAATGCCTTCACTTTTCCAGATGACGTGGGGTGCATTCAGGGTGGTATGCCCATAGCCAATGCCTTCACTTTTCACCCAGGACATGTAAATCCTAGTGTTCTACACCTGCCTTTATTCCTAAAGAGATTATGGATGGCACTCCTTCAGTCGTTCCTCCAGATGCATTAAGTGTGTATCTGCCAGGCCCTTGCTGATGGACACTCAGAACTGGTAGGTAGTGTGACGGGGTGTGTGTGTGTGCTCCCTCAGAACATTCCCTATGGTGTGCGTGGCTTTCTCTTGAGATAAGGTCTTGCTATATATGTAGGCAAGGTTAGGCTGGCTTTGTCTCTCACATAGTTGGGACTTGACGTAAATGCACTTGGCTTACTGTGTACACTTTCACTGAACTTATAGTTTGCACATATATGTAGTTTACACTTTCAACAGGAAAAAAATCCTCACATTTAAAGGGCATATTAATTTCTTCCTTGATTCTGTAACAAAAAACCCTGACAAAAACAAATTTTGTTTTTTGAGACAGGGTTTCTCTGTATTGCTTTGGAGCCTGTCCTGGAACTCGCTCTGTAGACCAGGCTGGCCTCAGACTCACAGAGATCTGTCTGCCTCTGCCTCCCATGTGCTGGGATTAAAGGCGAGCGCTACCAATGCTCAGCTCTGACAAAAACGTCTTAAGGAAGAAGAAAAGTTATTTTGGCTTACAGTTCCGGAAGGACAGAGTCCACCCTGGCAGGAAAGGCATTGGAGCAGTCAGGGAAGGCACGCGGGCAAGAGCAGGAAGCTGCCTGGTCACGGTGTACCCACGCTCAGGAAGTACCGAGAAAGCAGTGAGTTGGGCTCATCTGTCTATAAAACCCCAAGTCCCATCCACAGGAATGTACTTCTTCCAGTGGGGCTCCCCCTCTTAAAGGTTCTATAACTTCCCAAACAGCGCCACCAGCCGGGGACCAAACTGTCAAACACAGGAGCCTGTGGGGGGCATTTCACGTTCAAAACGTAACAGAGGCTTGGGATGTCATCACATGATCCTTTGCTTGGCAGCGTTCTATGTATTTCTTTGTATTTAGGCTAACGCCAGTCCTGGTTTCCCATGGCCCTGCTTGGACAGGGCTCTGGACAGGGCTCTGGTCTCTTCTGTTCCGGCGCCACACTCCAGCCCTGCTGTTGACTGCTCTGCCAATGCCGGCTGTCTCATCGTGCAGCGAGAAGACACACGCCCCTTTGTTTATTTTCTACATGTTCCGCTTGCTCATTTTCTTTATGCACTCTTCCTCATCAACCCCTTACCTCATCCCCAGCAACTTCTGTAGAGACAGCTCCAATCTCATTTATGCTCCCTTTAGCTGCTTTCGCAGAAGATGAACGCTATCCATTCGTCTGCATTTTGGCTGGCATCTCCCCCATTACCACTGTTAGTTAATAATAGCAGAAGCATTTTGCTGAGAATGTATAGACTTCAGTTCTAATCCACCATAATCACTGTGGTCTTGGTATACACAGGACATGTTCAAACATGCTCAGCCCAATAGGTTTCTTGTGCCACGCTTTTAAGGGTTTAACCGAGGGCCTTGTACTTCTGGGGGCCAGGACTCTACCAACGAGCTACACTATAGCCTGCTTGCTTGCCATTATGGGTTATGTGACATCATCTTTAATCCAGAATTTGGAGCTTGACTTGTTAGTTAATAAAAGTTTTTTTTGTAATTATAAACCTGCTAGAAGGTATATATGAGCAGCCAAAAACAAAATTATTTTTTCTCGTTTGTAGCTCAGGTGAGAGGTTTATATCTTAAGAGAAAACTAAGGTTTTGTGATTCCATTTCAGGCTTTGAAAGGAAACAAAGTTCTCTTCAAGAAGAGAACCCTCTGTGCACATAAAAAGACTTCCTATCTTGCTATACCACAACAGAAAGGCCCCTGGTGGTTAGAACAGGTGAGACAGTTGGCTCTCCCTTGAGACAGGTTTCTCTAAAACAAACAAACAAACAACCCACCAAAGCAAAACAAAAAACACAGGGGTGGTGAAACTCTTCTTTAATCCCAGCACTCACCACAGAGGAGGCAGAGGCACCTGCAAATCAGACCTTTTAAAAAACTTTTACTTTTTTAAAGATGTATTTGTTTGTGTATTTATTTATTATGTATAGAGTGTTCTGCCTGAATGTCAGAAGAGGGCACCAGATTTCATTATAGATGGTTGTGAGTAACTATGCAGTTGCTGGGAATTGAACTCAGGAACTCTGTAAACCAGGTATTTTAACAAGACTGAACCAAATGAATCTAACTAGATTCAGTAAATTTAATGAAAAACTATTTGTCTTCTTGGGCCTCAGCTTTTTTAGATGTGGTGATAATTTGCCCCTACTCTAGAATTCTTCACTGTTAAATCACTTCTGTCTTTACTTACTACTGTTATTAATCATGGACCGTGAGTTTTTTTTTTGTTTTTTTTTTGTTTTTGGTTTTTCGAGACAGGGTTTCTCTGTGGCTTTGGAGGCTGTCCTGGAACTAGCTCTTGTAGACCAGGCTGGCCTCGAACTCACAGAGATCCGCCTGCCTCTGCCTTCCAAGTGCTGGGATTAAAGGCGTGCGCCACCAACGCCCGGCTGGACCGTGAGTTTTAAATATGTTTCCTGAAAAGTTGAGCGATCCTATATGAAAATTCATTCCTCCCATTATTTTTGACCATCCTAGGGCTTCATAAGAGTTTACAAACTTTTGTAAGAGGGAAATTTGTGTGCGTGTTTGGTTTTCTTCAGCAGTAGTTGGAGGGTGTCCAGTAGTAACTTTCTGGCAATAAGCCCTTTGTGTACTGCTCCCTCAGCTTCCTGCAGGCTCTGGACCAATGGTCCAGTCCCCTGCCTCCCTTGTCCATTAGCTCCCCTGGGCTTTACAGGCAACTTTCCTGTGTATCTTGAACAGTAGCTTACCTGTATCTGAAAGCCTCAGGGACTTACTCATGTAAGAGACGGGTGAACTGAGGGCAAAGTCCGTAGGAGATAAGTGGCTTTCCTGGTATGTCTCATAATAGCACTTAATCACGTTTTGCAGCCACCGCTTTACAACAGGGAGACTTTGATTCACTGACGCAGGTATTTGTTCGATGTCACATAAATTCAAGGAAGTCGCTCACCTCCTCCAGGCATCTTCTATCGTAATCCAGCTTCACTGGACAATTCATTTTGCTCATGGAGAGTGAACAAAGTCCTTAGAATTTAGTGGAGTTTTCAAGCTGCTTCATGTTCTAGTTGAGATGAGGTAAGATATGCTATGCTTGATTTTCTGTATTTCAGTATGAACCGGTGTATGTGGGGGGGGGTGTCAGGGAATCCTCTTTATTTCCAAGACAGATAAGGCCTCAAAAGAGTCTCTGTTTGTTCTTTTACCTTCCAGGTCCTGAGCAAGGGGTTCCCATGCATTCCTTTTCCAAAACTGCCCTTGACAATGTCTCCTGTGGACTCCATTGTGCTTAAAGAGGTAGCCCACTAATGTCATCCTCTGCCCTGGGTCCTGACCACCACTTAGTGTCACTTCTTACTTCCTTCACTGGGCTTCTGAGGCACTGACTTTGTGTGGGTGTTTCCCACCTGATGCCTGATGCTCCTCCATCTCTTTGGATGGCTCTCCCTGTTTTCCTGACCTCATTAGAAGGAGTCAAGACAAGCATCTTGTTCCCTTCTTTTCTAGCTACACTTACTCCCTTGATGGCCCCATCTTGTCTTTGACTTTAAAAGCCACTAACATTCTAACATTCCAAATTCCTTTCCCTATCTCCTATGTCTGTCTTGGACCCTGTGCTCACATGCCTACTCTCTACTTCTGAAGGTTTTTTTGGCAAATATCTCAAATCTAACCTGAGCCCAACTGGCCCCACCTCCATGCCAATCATCTAGTCCCCCTCTTTTCAGTAGGGACAAAGCAGAACTGAAAGCCTTCATGCCACCCCTAGGCACCCTCTTAGTTTTGTGGCTTGTGTGTAGTCAGTCTGGGATAGCTGTACTGCTGTCTTCAAACTAAATTAAGTCTGGCCACATGTTGTCATTGTGTAATGACTAACCCTTATTATCAACTTGACGAGCTCTGGAATCAACTAAAAGGCATGCCTCTGGGTTGGTCAGTGAGGGTGCACTCAAGGATTAACTGAGGGATAAGGCCAGCCCCCAGGGTGGTCTGCATGCTCCAACAGCATCTAAAATGTAAACCGGTCCAAGGCAAAGGGAGCTGCTTGTCCACACCTGCTGCCTGCTGTTGGTGGTGTCAACCCCACAGCATGATTGCTGCCTGCTGTTGGTGGTGTCAACCCCACAGCATGATTGCTGCCTGCTGTTGGTGGTGTCAACCCCACAGCATGACTGCTGCCTGCTGTTGGTGGTGTCAACCCCACAGCATGACTGCTGCATTGCAGTTGCGTCCTTCCCTGACATCAGACTTCAGCTCAGTCTAACTTAGCCTGAGGACTGGGGCACCTCTAGAAATCTTTCAGGGTTTCAGCACCAGGGTGGGACTGCCGAGACCTTCAGCCTTGTGTATTGAACAGCTCAGTCTAACTTAGCCTGAGGACTGGGCCAGGCACCTCTAGAAATCTTTCAGGGTTTCAGCACCAGGGTGGGACTGCCGAGACCTTCAGCCTTGTGTATTGAACAGCTCAGTCTAACTTAGCCTGAAGACTGGGGCACCTCTAGAAATCTTTCAGGGTTTCAGCACCAGGGTGGGACTGCCGAGACCTTCAGCCTTGTGTATTGAACAGCTCAGTCTAACTTAGCCTGAAGACTGGGGCACCTCTAGAAATCTTTCAGGGTTTCAGCACCAGGGTGGGACTGCCGAGACCTTCAGCCTTGAGTATTGAACAGCTCAGTCTAACTTAGCCTGAAGACTGGGGCACCTCTAGAAATCTTTCAGGGTTTCAGCACCAGGGTGGGACTGCCGAGACCTTCAGCCTTGTGTATTGAACAGCATGGAGTCCTCAGCCTTCCTAGAACATAGGCCATCATTGGACTACCCAGACCCTATCAGTCCTGTCATTCTAGTAAATAAATTCCCTCTGTGCACACACATGTATGTAAATGCACACACACACACACACACGCACACACACGAGTCAGAGAGCCCTGACCAGTACAACTTGTCTCCCCTCTTTTCATTAGTGATGACTCAGAATTGAAAGCCTTCATGCCACCCCTTGACATTCTCTTAGTTTTGTGACCTGTGTGTAGTCCATCTGAGATTCTATTATTACTAATCTTCTGTCCTGTGTGTAGTCCATCTGAGATACTATTACTCATCTTTTGTTTCAGCTGCCTTCACCTGTGGTGGTAACTGCCACAGTGGCCTGCCTGTCTCTGTGACTACCCCCACACTACCATCTACTCTCAGAAGAGTGACTCTTCAATCATGGAAGCAGCCGATGCCATTCGGTTCTTCAAAACCCTCCACCTACGGCAAAAGCCAAAGTTCTTCAAATGGCCAGGCAGGCCATGGTGCCCTCACTAACTGCGGGTCTTGCTTTAAGGCCCTACTTCATAGTGTCTAATGTCTTCCAGTACCTCAGGTCCCCTTTGCGGTCCACCTGATCTACTCAACTTCCTGTCTTCTTTAACCTGCCTGCCCATACATACTCCACTCTCACAGACAATCCTGAGGGCAGGAAGCTCCGTTGCAGCTTATTGACGTCCCCTTGGCACTGAAGGAATTCCTGATGTACAACAGGCCCTCGGCGTGTCTCTAAAATGAATGCACAGTTAAAAACTCTGTCATTTCTGGGCTCCTGAGGTGGGGGTGAACCCACCCTACCCTTGAGAACTGGAAATGTAGCAATGCAAGAACTGTAGGATGTAGGCTGACCAGGCAGCAAACACAGAGTGGCCTGGCAGAGGAAGGAACAAGAGTTGCCCCTGTGATCACAAGTCTACGAAACACCCTCCACTTACAATTTTATTATCCTTGATAGGTAAAATAGAAACTAAGATAATTTGTACTAACATTATAAATAATGATTTCTCTCTCTTGTCTCATCTTGTCTTGTCTCCTTTTCTCTATGTCCAGATAGCCTGGAATTGTCTGTCTATGCCAGGATGGCCTCCGACTGAATTACCCGCCAGCCTCTGCCTCCAAAGTGCTGGGGCAAAGGTGTGTGCCAGAGAGTCTTCTCTGCTCACTGCAGGCCTCAGAGAGAGAAACAACACAGCTCACACGTGCCCCGTTCACTTGTCTCAGTCACAACCCCTCGCTCACTGCCAGAGCTAATTGCTAACCCAAGTCTGGTGTTCACTGTTCTTACAGTACCTTTTCTACACACGGATTCCTAAAACACAGTAGCATTCTATGGGTTTAAATGGTACAGAATGAAGTTTCTTTTTTTTTTTTTTTTTTTTTGCTTTCTTCACAGGTGCTACATGTACACACACACACACACACACACACACACACACACACGCACACAGGCATACACACCTGCCCCTTTCCATTTCTGTATAATATATCACTCACTTGTTCATTACCTTGTTATTAATTTTCAGTTTTCCTTCATTTGACAAGCCTGTCCAACAGAACTTTCTGAAATAATGTATATAGCTGCATTGGTACTCTAAAAGGACCATATTCACCAGGCAGATATGGCTACTGAGACCTTGAAGTGTACCTGAGAGACTAAAGGCTTGACAATGTAATTTATCTACTATTTTTTTTCAATTTTTATTTAAAGCTGTACTTCAAACCAAATCCTTCAAAACAGAAAAGCTGTTTCAAACAAATATGTGCAAATATCATAATACCAATATTTTAAAGATAACCTGCAGACTATTATAAAAAAGGCAACTACTATATAAAAGAATCATATGGCAAATCGCTTTTTATAAAATCTTTTATAAATAAACTTGTCTAGTGATAGAAGATAAAAATTAAATCTACCCTAAAAATAAGTAAATTGCTCAGAAGATGGATTGAGTGCTTTGGAATCATGTTGTTTCTTTGAAAACGAACTTTTAACTGGGCATTACAGTAACAAATACCACTTCATACCCACTCACTTATGCCTTCTGATCTCTGGGTATGGAAACCTTTTATGGGTGTCCCTTACTTTCGGGAGTCATCTTAGTAAACATTGGAGCTTGTTAAGTGTACTAGGTATAATAAACAGCAACAGTGCCAAATTCATTTAGTAGGTCTTTAAGGAACTTGGTGTCATCAATTGGGCAAAAAAAAAAAAAACCAAAAAAAAAAACAACTCTTAACTGATAAGGTTAATTGAGCAATGAATGGAAAAGTGCAGTACTGTCTCAGATGTGCCTGGAATGCATCTTGGGAGTACCTGTCAACTGCTGCGTTCTTGTTGCGCGAGTCTTTCTAGAATAAGGACTCAGGCATCAGTGAGAGAGGAAGAGAGGAGATGTCACAGGTAGACTGAAGACAGAATAGCTCCTGAAATGCTTTGATACCTGGTCCAGTTGGCTTTCTCAGTCTATTTACTAAAACCACAGGTGGGGCGGGCAAGCAATGTTTTACAGAAGTGTAAGTGGCAGTCAGCAGGCTGTTAAGGGAACAACCCAGTGTTTCAGTCATTTCTCCAGGTCATTCTGTTAGCAAGTGAAGTCATGCTTGGTAAACAGGCAGTTCAAGCAGTGCTTTAAGTGAATCAACAAATCAGTATCTAATAATTAGTGTTTTCTGCTGTATTCTATTTCATTCTCATAACAAACATATCGTGTCACATCGTTTATTATCTTGGATTAATAAATAACTGATCTGTACACATTTAAGACACTACTGCTCTTTACTTACCGTGATGAGAAACAGAAGTATAAGAAGTTAATTTTAGTACGTATGTCAGTGACCACAAATGTGCCGCTTAAAAGGCATGAGGAACTTACCCATACATGCAGACTGTAAGTGATCTGCATAGATGCTAGAGTAAATAAACAGAAAGGTAACTGAAAGCAAGACTCCAGCTTCCATGAAGTCACCATCTGTGATGGGAAAGATGTTGTGGTGCTGCAGCTGCTATGGGGTCGCTCATGCACCAGTAAGTAATCCCTACTCACAATCTGTAAGCCGAGGAACCTCACTGGTTTGCCAACCTGGGTTTCATTGGAATTGCTCCTTTGGTATATATTCGTGCCCTATCTTGGGTGAAGAGATGTTTATTCATAACTCCCTAAGTCAACATACCACGCCTGCATATTTTACTGTTGGCTGTTTTCATTGCCACCATATAATGGGGTCTTCTCTTTTTTCTCTTGCTTGTTCTTTCTCCTGCTGCCTTTGGGAAATTCACACTGTGGCTTACGTTGTTTGATCACTGTCTTTTTCTTAGTGGTCCTGAGTTCTTCAAGTTCTCTTAATTCTGTGTTACAAATTAATCCATCCTCATTCATGGTTTTGTTGGTTTCACTGGTGAGCAGGGTTGTTCAGTGTCAAACTTTCCCCATGATCTGCTTCGGATGTTTTCTGACATAAATCTTTACCTGCTTGTCAGCCATTTATTCTCATTTTAAGTCCTTAGTCTAACGTGAAACTCTGAAGCATATTTCCCATGATTGCTCACAGAGTGAAATAGTTACGTTTTCTTCGTTATCTGGCCATATAATATCAGAACAAGAGTTTGGATAACACTTAGTCAAGCCTGAATTCCTTTTTCATTTTAGCATTCACTTATTTATGTTGTGTGCATGCTGTGGGGGTGGCAGAGGTTTATGTTTATGTGTCATGACACTCACGCAGAAATGGCAAGAACAACTTGTGGGAACTGGTTCTCTCCTTCTACCATGAAGATTCTGGGGACCAAACTAAGGTCATCAGACTTAGCAGCAAGCACCTTTACCTGCTGAGTCTTTGAAGCAAATTCAAGGTGAGCACTATGCACATTGTGAAATTTAATTTGTGATTTTTAAAAATGTATTCATAATGAAAGTTATTATTTCCCTTGATTTAGGTCTCATGGTTATTTTAGCCTAACAAAATCTGTTAATGTTTTATTCTTTAAAGACAAGACATTGTGTCTGTATTAATACATCTGCAGTACCAATGTATTATGGTATGCTTATATAGCCATGACACCATACACTTGGTATTATGAATTCTATTCTAATAGTTCCATAAAGTATTGTGTATTGGTAAGAGCTTAATGAGAAGCCAATAATACATAGACTCTTGTAGCTCCCATCACCAATTTTTGTAAGGGAGTTAGTTAGATAGGCAAAATAAAACCAAAGAAAAAATAATCTATTTATTTTAGGAAACAAATAAAGCCTTCATGATTCTTTGGTGCAGTTCTGTGTTGGCAATCTGAATTTTATGGTTTTTTTTTCAAGAATCATCTGTCATAGAATGATGCTTTAAATCATACATTTGGGCACAGTAGATATTTGACATGAAAAGCATTTGTATCAGAGTGGTCATCAGAAAAATAGTAACATCTTACACATAATAACTAGAAAATATCTGTTTGATCACTTAGGTTAGAAATCCTGAGAATGTTACTCTCTGAACAGTTAGATCACTGAAGCCTGCATAGAAAGAATCCTTTAAAAAAAAGCTGGGTGGTGGTAGCACACGCCTTTAATCCCAGCACTCAGGAGGCAGAGGCTGGCGGATCTCTGTGAGTTCCAGGACAGCCTGATCTACAGAGTGAGTTCCAGGATAGCCATAGCTGTTACACAGAAAAACCCTGTCTTGAAAAACAAAACAAAACAACAACAAAAAAAAAAACTTTAAAAAATGCTCTGAGGTACAAATCACCTACGCATTCAACATGTGTCCTCTACATTTTACAAAGATGTAAACAGATCAAACGATTGATTATAGGTCATTGGCTCTTAAGAGGGTCTCAGTCGGGCTCAAGGACGCACTGTCCCCCGATTTCCCTTAGGTTGGGGCTCTCCATTGTAGCTGCCACTCGCTCTTTGTCATTTATCTGCTTGTGGATGTCTTCTGTCGAGTGAGTTCCTTCAGATATGTAGATTTCCAATGAACTCATGACTATCACTCTCCACTCCTTCACTTTGGTTGAAATTTACACATGACTCATTATTCTGAAATAGCCACAGCCTGGGTGTAGTGGCAGATGACTTACCGGCACTTGAGAGACAGCAGCAGGTGGATCTCTGTGAGTCTGAAGTCAGCCTGGTCTACACAGTGAGTTCCAGGACAGCTAGAGCTACATAGTGTTTAAAAGGCAGACACCGCTGAAGTTTTACTCTTAGGCACAGTCCAATAAGAGTTGCCAAAGAGCAATGAGGTATTGTTGGTGTGAACTTGATAATAACCTAATAGTCTTCTTCCTTTATTTCTTGAACCTCCACACATCACTCCGTTACCACTTCCAATTCTTCTGGGTCCCAGATAGTTCTAATCAAATCATAAACCTCTAGCGTTTTCTCTTCCATGATCTGGGGCTGCCGGGCAGCTCCCTGCTCAGAAAAGCCTGAGAGCCATAGGACCCTCCTCAGCGTCCAGGAGAGCAGCCCGGACACTCGCTCCATCCTCACTCTCCGTCATCCCTGGAGACTGTCCCAACCGAGCCACCGTCTTTCTGCAGCCGGCCTCAGGAGTTATCAACTTTCTGGTCTTCAAATAAACCTAGACATGTGTAAAGGCTTAGGGGAGCAGAGGATAGGCTGGACTCAAAACAGTAACGCAAAGGACCTTGAATTTTATGTTTTGAAAAGTGTGCTTATAAGAAACCTGAGGACTTTCTGACTGAGATCAGGAACAAGGCAAGGGGGTCCCTTGTCACCACTCATTCTCTATATCATGCTGAAAGTTCTAAATAATATAATATGGCAAGAAAGGGAAATGAAAAATATAGGGAAACAATAAGTAAAAATAAGTAAAACTGTAATCATTGACAAGTAATATAATTATCTATGTGAAAAAATCTGATGGAATCAACAAATAACATTTATTTGACCTAATAAATGATGATGACAAAGTCTCGGTGTATAAGTTTAATTTACAAATAAGTGGGGGGAGAGAGGGAGGTCAGTACAGAAGGAGAGGAAGGGGAAGAGGGTAAAGGACAGTAAGGACATCTGAAAAATAGTAAGAATCATATTTATTTAATTGAAATGACATACAACACACACACACACACACACACACGTGCACACAGAGAGCCCAAGCTCAAGCTTGCAATAAAGGCTCTTCATTTTTGCATATGAACTTGAACTCCTGGTGGTCTCTGGGGGGGGCTCATGACATGGTGATAACAAAACTAACAGAAACCCCACTGAGTTTCTCTTCTGAGTTGTGAGTCAGAGGAATCCAAGAGATCATGCAAACAATACAGGCTATTGCTATTGCTCTTGGTTGCTTCTCAGAGGCTGAAAGCAAGTCCCTATTGCTGAAGACTATGCACTTTAGACACAGACCCCACTGCACCTGAGCCGGATCTGACATTAAAGCCTCCACTCTTAGGACTAGCTTTCATAGTACCAGAAGGTGTTATGTGAGCTTCTAAGGGAGAGAAGCAACCAACACTTCTACCCAGCTGTGATGCCTGGGAACCACAAGGATGGTGAGCCTGGCATGAAAGCCCTAAGCGGTGGTGGCACTTACAGCTTCGTAGTAACCAACAGCTCCAACTGGATGCAAGGCCTGCACCACAACAAGGAAATCACGGCTGGCATTGTAAAACCAGCAGACTACCTTTAGTTGATGGGATCATGGATCGTAGAGGAGAACCACAGCTGCCAGCCACTTCAATAAACTAGCATAATTCCTAACTGAATTGTAAATATTTATCTTCATGTCCATAGATAACTGTATCTCTTACCTCTCCTCACAGAAATTTCTCTTTGTGGTAGATGGAGACCATTACAGAAAAACTGGTTAAAATGCATTGTACAACTGATCATTGGGTGCCCTGTCCCAATTGGTACATCTACAACACATCTCTTGAACCTCAGTCTCAGGGAACACAGCAGAAGAGGGGCAAAAAGACTGAGAGTCAGAGGACCAGGGAATCTGCTGTGACATACTCATCTCCCAGAAATGACAGAGAAGATACTCCCATGATACCTCAACAATATGACTGCCTAAACAAGGCTGAAGTAGTACAAGACCAAAAGACACGCTAACATGGAAGGGAGAAATTGCGGGCCACCACTCATAGTTTAAAAACAAAAGGGCTATAGATGCATGCACACACGCATGCATGTATGCATACACAAAAGAAAGAGAAGAAAGAAGACCCTAATTTTGAGATGGAGCAAGGTGGCATCCATGGGAAGAATTGTATAGAGGAACGGGAAAGAGGAAAATAATGTAATTGTATTTTATTTTTAAATTTAAAATAATTATAAATAAAAGTGACCTGAAATCTTTGAAATACTTGACCTAACCTAGAGGACTTAAAAAGTATTTAAGTCCTTAAATGCTTAAATAGCTATTTTATGTTTAAATCCCTTTATAATAATAAAAAAACCTATTAAAACCCAATAAAAGAAACTAAACAATGTTGAAATGGTTCAATTTATGCTGCTCAGGTAGTCATGGGTATGGGGTCACCAATGGAATGTAGGTAAACTATGGGGGACATGCCCATAATGAAAACTGACTCTCCCTTTCCCATAAGTCACCAATCATCAATAGTTTAAAGGGCTTCTCTCATATGAAGAGCTATGAATGTGTCTCCCATAGGCCCCAGAAACAAGGAAGTAAGTAATAGGCTTTTTTTGTAGCTACTGCATGTCTGTATCTTGATGATTTTGAGAGATAGTGTCTTATTAAATATGGGAACGCCTCTGCTTCCCTATGTTTCTTAACACTTGGATGCACAATCCCTTAGTGAGACCTGGTGACTCAGTTCCTGCCTCTAGCATCTACGATGGCTGCTCCCATCTTTGCCAGATCACTTTGTAAAATGGATGAAGTCGAGATCTCGTGCAGAAGTCTGTTGGTCCATAACTTATATTGGCCAGAAGCACAGACAACATGCAAGTCCCCTGTGTATTAAGGTAAAGGCGGCACAGCTTAGGGCTGGAATACAGCTCAGTGGCAGAGTACTTGCTTAGCAAGGGTGAAGTCCTAGGTCCAGTTGCCAGTGCTGTGAACAAGAAGCAAACACAGGTGACATGGTTTTGTCTTGGTATCTATAAGCAAGAAAACGCCCGAGTTTTGAGCAGGCTAGACATAATGGAAAGGACACAGGACACCATATGTAGAGACGGATCGGCTTAAAGCTAAAATAGTTGTGACAATGCTGTCTACACAGTCAGCATTTATGACCTATGGTTTTCCCAGCACTTGAGCTAGGCATGGATCATATCAGAAGTTCATTGCAAGGGCCGTTTTAATCTGCTCATTTGCTGAGAGGGTAAATGTTGTAGGCGCTGACTTCATTAGGTTTTCTAACACATGGAAGGAAAAGTCCGGGTCTTACCGTCAAACAACCACATGAACTATGCAGTCATACAAATCGCTGTAAAGGACATGCTACAGCAGGTTGCCTGCTGCCGTGTGCTTTGACTATGCATCTGCACACGAGCCGGGTTCACCACACCCTGATACACGGAAGAAGCTGACAGCGCTCACTGCACAGAGGGCTCCATTGTGTAGACCCGGCCTCTGGGAATAGGTGTTCCCTAGCCCTGACTGAATTCTCAGAGGACTGGGAGGGCAAGCTGGAAATGCTTTTCTGGGGAGATGACTGAAGAAACAGCATTCGTCATCAATTCTCGAGAAACAAAGAGCCTCTGATTGCAGGCTAGCCCTGGGGGTGCATGCCTGTTAGTTCTTCCACTTTGCCAACCCCTGACTGATAGAGTTCATTTGCTTGTGACTGCCAGCTACCTGACCACCACTCTACCATCAGCAAGCAGAGACAAGGCCTCCTGAGAGGGCTTGCCCAGAAGGAGTTCAGAAGTGGGAGCAGGGGTCAGGCTTTTCTCACTCTAAGTGGAATGACAAAGCAGCCCTCCCATTAGTGAGCATGTGTGAGTGCGCATGCGTGTGTGTGTGTGTGTGTGTGTGCGCGCATATGCATGAGTGCACATGCATGTGTATGTGATGCACAGGGGCCAGAAGTCAATCTGGCTCCTCCTCAGACACCGTTGATGCTGAATATTTTCAAGACAGGGTTTCCCACTAGCCAGGAACTCACCATAGGCTAGTCTGGCTGACCAGCAAGTCCCATGAATCCACCTGTCCCCACCTTCCCAGAGCTGGTCTCACAAGCACGTAACACTAAGTCCAGCTTTTTAAAGAACTGTTGCTCCTGAGGTTAGAACTCATGTCCTCATGCTTGCCAGCAAGTGCTTTACACAATGAGCTAGCTCTACAACACACAAAGCAATATTCATGAAGGCTCAGAAAGCTTCAAAACCACAACGTCTAAGGGGGTTGTGCAGAACTCATCAGTTAGTGCTGGAATTTACAGTTCAGACTTCCTCATAAAACATTTTGTTTCTGTTTCCCAGATGAAAACAAAACAAAGCAAAAACATTTCTTCAGTTAACATCCACATAATAGAGAACATGTTGAATCTTATTTTTATTTTTTATATTTATTTATTATGCAAGGGTTTTGCCTGCATGCATGCAAGGCACTGCATGCATTGTTGGTGCCTGCAGAGGCTGGAGGACGCACTAGATTCCTGGAACTGGAGTTATGGGTGATAATATGATACCATGTGAGTTCTGGGACCCTAACCTGAGTCCTGTGCCAGAACAGAAAATAATTTTCACCACTGAGCTATCTCTCTAGCCTCCAAATCTTTTTAAAAAATAATTACCATGGTTATACTGGAGACATAGGGCTTACTAAGTTTACCAGGACACATAATGACTTGCATGATAAATTCACTTTGATTACTTGGTGTTTTCTATAAAATCAGTTTACTTATTCATCCTTCAAGGCATAAAAACAAGTGCACACTACTTTGTCGGGAAGAACAGATGTGGGGATTGGGCATGCTAGAGCCCAGGTGTGGCATACATGAATGAGCTGGTGCTGAGTACATCCTTCAGTGAGCAAAGTGATACTCATGAAGAAAACTGATGAGCCTTGAGGTCTTCTTGGCCAAGGAAAACATAAAGGTTTTTATTGCATAATCAAGGATAGGCTTAGGACAGTGAAATTCTAAGGTTTTAGCATGAATTAATAGGTGTGATCTTATCCAGGCTAAGGAGACATAACTCTCCAATGAAGAGCAGAATGGTACACAAAAGTAAATCACTGTGGAAAAATAGTCACAAATGGGATGTTTTCATTAAAAAAAAAAAAGCAAAGAGCTTTGGAAATCTGCCAGTTTCAAGAGACCCAAACAGACAAGCAACTCTGCTCTCATCTGTCATAATCTTCTGGTGTCAGATATGCTCCCAGCATTTTATATTTTCTAATTACCATGTTGTGAATGCTACTTAGAATGCCTCTAATATGGCTGAAGGGGCTCTATCATTGCAAGCATGGCAAATACAGGATGGAGCATGGCAAACACCGCAGACAGGTTTTTGCCCTTGTACCCCTTTACTCTTCCTTACTAAAACCATTACATTCCTGAAGCTAGCCCCCAAAGTCCGTTATTTGGCCAATGACTCATTCCTGAGACAAAACAACAAGGTCCAACAATCCAAATTCATTATTTGGCTAATATATCCAATGAGAATTTACCAACTCACCCTAGCAGACTTCCTTCCTCCCTTTCCCTTAAGCCCACTCCTGCAGAATGCCCTCTCCTGCTTTCCTTGCTTGCTTGCCGCTCTTTCTGCCTTTGAAGCATCCCTTCACCCTTCTTGCCCCTCTGGGGTAACAAATCCCCTTGAGCTGAGAATTTGGTGTCTAGGTATGTCCTGTACCAAATCTGGGGCATTGACTTCCCTTTCAATGATGGTAGTCTGTGTTATTACTTGGAGGTGAGGGTGGTATCATTTCCTCTGGTAACCTACATCTTCTTAATTATGACCTCTTTTCTCACTTATGTGAAGGAATTGG